ATCTGTTTTCTGTCTAGAGCGCCGCCCCGCCCCTTGATCTTTCTGCGGGGGAGTACGGGTCGCGACGCTCTGTTTCTGGGTCTTGTGATATGAGGAGCTAGACGGCTGGGACTGCTTCCGCTCAGCAGTCCCAAATACCTGGGGCCGGCGAGCGAGGAAGCGCTGGAATGCCGCCGCTTGCTTCTTCGCCTCCTGAAACCTCTCGACGACAGTGTCTACTGCGCCGCCGAAGAGGCCAGAAGGCGATAGCGGGGCATCCAGCAGGAAGAATCTGTCCTTATCTTGTAACTCGGACAGATTCAACCACAGGTGTCGCTCCGTGGCCACGAGAGCTGCCATGGAACGGCCAATGGCTCTGGCTGTTCGATCTCGAAAGCTCGGAATGGAGATCGGGGAAAAATGGAAGGCCCCGACGTGAAGGTTGCAATCTTGCTCTAAGGAAACGCTTTCCAACTTGCTTTTGGGATGAGCGTCCTGTTTCTCGGCTGGCCCTTCGATATTTAATTTAGCTACAGCACGAGTAACAAGCTCCACGAGCTCCTCATACGCGAGGGACTGTGGTGGCGAGTCCACAATCTCCTCCGTGTCGATGCTCATCACATCAACCTCCTCGGAGGAAGATAGATGAAGCGTCTGGCCCTCTCTCGGGGGGGAAGAAACCGCGGGGCGGGCTTCCGAACCCTGAAAGGGGGCCGTGGATCTAGCGGGTGAGGACTGAGATAAGGACGAGCCCGTCTCGGATCCCTCCGCTAAATCCACTTGCGATCCCCACGATAACAGCCGCCGCTGTGCCTCAGCAACAGCGGGGCCGGACCCAGCAGGATCGCGAGCCTGGCCGCTTTCATCGAAGACGGCCAGGCGGGAGCGAAGCACACGGAGCGGGAGAAGCTCACAATCATGGCAGGCAGCCCCCTCGAGAGCTGCCCGTGCATGCTCCGCTCCCAAACAGATGACGCACAAATCGTGTGTATCCTCACCCGAGATATAACGTGGGCAAGGAGGAACACACGACTTGAAACGCCGTCCGCTCGCCACATTCTTTTTTGATTTTGGCATTGTTTTTCTAGCTTAACTTTGTTTTACTGACTGAGTGCTTTGCATACATTCACACACACACCACAGACGCGCTCGCTGAAGAGCAAAAGCTAACAGGCGCGCTGGCCGGATGTGCCTTTATGCTTCCTGGCTGCTTACGTCACCCCGCTCGTGACGTCTCGCTTCGCTATTGGACTGATTTCACACAGGCTTCAGTACGGTGTCTCGCCGAGGGCGTTCCCAAAGCGTTCGACGCAGCTCGAGTTCCTGAAGGGGAACCCTGGATGCAAGAGCACTATGTTATCTTAATAGGACATAACGATTTATTTATCATTCAACGTTTCTCTGGCTTTTCAGATTTCCTTAATTTTGAACTCGCTGCTTAAAATAACCATTCAGTTTCAGTAAAATTTAACAGTGTTTGCAAGATGAGTTTGGATTAAATTAAATCGTTCTTATTATTTTTCTTAATTTTCTGCAATTAATTAAGTGCAAACCATTTACCATACAGGCTAAAATTAAAACTTTGACTTCTAGATCATTTCAGGTTTAAGTGTTGTTTTTGTTAAAATTTTGATTTTAACAGTAAACAATTATTTTTTTGGAAATGTCCCACTGACTTACCATTCAAAAGTTTGATATCAATATAAATACTATATAAAATAAATAAATAGATAAATAATATACTGCTTTTATTCAGCAAGGATGCTTTAAATTGATCAAAAGTGACAGCAAAGACATAATTTACATTGTTACATCAAATGTATTTTTCTAGTAAATGCTGTTTTATTGAACTTTTTATTTATCAAATAATATTGGAAGGGGGGGGGTTCCACAAAGATATTTTGAAGCATAACTATTTTTAACATATAGGCAATTTGTTGCAATTATTTAAAAAAATATAAATATGTTGTGTTGATGATCATCAAATCAGCATATTATACTGATTTCTGAAGTATCATGTGACACTGAAGACTGGAGTAATGATGCTGAAAATTCAGCTTTGGAAATACATTTTTTTTTTTTTATAAATTCCAATAGAAAAGTTATTTTAAATTGCAATAAAAGTTTACAATATTACTGTTTTTACTTTTTTCCCCCCAAAATCAATGTGCATAAAATAATTATTTAAAAAAACATTCAAATATCCTAGTAGTGTAACAGTAGTGTAAAATATTTGAGAGATACGTTTAACTGATAACAATGATGTTACCCTAGTATTTGCATACAAAATTTTGAGCGGTCTTTTTATGCATTTATTTGTTTACCGATTTGTGATTGGTCTTTTGATTATGCACAAACAAAGACTAAAACCTAAGCTTACTAGCTGAACTTTAACAATTTTTTTGCTGCCTTGCAAACACTGTACTTCCTTCAATATGTGCAAATGTAGTTGTAGCTTTTTTAGTTTTTATGTTATTCATACATCACCCTGTGACCACTGGATTTCTCTGGACAACTTTTCAGCACACGTTGCACTTTGCTTCTCTTTGCAGATATAAATCTCTTCTCCATTGCCAGCCGATGCATAATGAAAGTGACGATTTCTATAATACCACCAAAAAAGTCTACTTCTTCGTGAAGTGTATTTATGTCGTATCAGCCCTTAGTAGATCAGCATATCAGGGCTTTAATTACACACCCCACAAATATGATCCTGTTTCTCCTTCCATGGGACTCCAGCATGCTTCAAAAACATCAGTACTACTGTCATGCTAGCTTTAAATTAGTTTTCCATGTACAACAATCACAGCCTCTCTCTCTCTCTGCAATGAGTGACAGCATAATGCATAGTGATAGAAGGAAGAGATTGTGTTTTTATGTTCATCAATTTATGTATTGTAGTTTTTTTTTATTATGCATTTAAGTAGCTTTATTTACAGTATCTCTAAAAAAAATACTTTTACACATTTGCACTTCTATGAACTTTAGTCAGAGTAGATGCCATGTTTAATTTGACACAGATTTTGGATGTGCACAATTTTGTCAGTGGGTACACTTCGTTCTTGTTTAATAGGTTGTCATAGACCATCTGTTTTTTATTTTTTATTTTTTTTATTTAATATATTTCAAATACTGATTTTGATTTGCTTCAAGTGATATAAAACAGCTGCTCTGACTAAGCTCCATTCCATGATAAAGACAATCCAAGGTACAATCAATAAATTAAAAAAATATATATTTTCTATGCATATTTAATTTGCACATCTAGAACGTCTTGAAATCTAGTGAAATAGTTTCAGATGTACATAAAAGTCTATTCATTTCAAGTTGCAAGCTCAAATGCCTGAAATTCCCTAATGTTGCTTTTATTGTGCACTCTGAAATCGCCATATCCACTGCAAAAACTAATTTTCTTAATTATGATCTTGTCATGGTCATCTATAAGCACAATATATTTTGTGATTTCTTGGTTACAGCCAAATTATCTTTATTTCCAGACAAACTGCAACTGCTTTATTGATGCTTGTAAGAAGACAGGAAAATGTATGTCTAATATTCCAAAATATTCATAATTAATCAATTTTTCCTCAGTCTAACTGAGAGCATGTATTCCATTCAGTATGAACGCAGCGTATGAAGATTTTTCTTTTGCAAGAGATTTTGTGGTTCCCTGGATGGTAAGGATATAATCCAAAACAGTTTTCCAAAAAAAAGTACATAATCTCAGACTAATTTGATTTTTCAGCCTTTGCCTTTTTTTCCTCCATTATCTTATTAGGTGGGTTCATGGATACTTGAGAGTTTTTGGTGTCTGAGATTGAGCTCTTCAGTTCCTCTGTAAATGGCTTTTCTGCTAGTCTTTGGTTTCTTTTGGCTGATGATAGACTACTTTGAGTGACTTTAGTTTGGCCCTTTTTAAATGCACTAATAACTATGAAAGGAGACTTGCAGACTGATGCGAGTCGTCACGCCAAGCTCTTCTTTTGAAAGCACCACATGGTGAGCCCATGATTTGGCTTGAATTGGTCGTTCCCATCATCATCTGTCAACCTGACATCACCATTATTGGATGAAATTAATATTTGACTTACAATGTGCCAAATGTTCCTAAATCAAAAGCTTTTTTGGCTGAGTGCCTGTAGATAAAATATTAAAGAGCAAAACCATACTAATTTGTGATGATTTTGAACGGCATAATCTGCATATCTGAGCCTAGCGTTGTGGGTAATAGGAATAGGTGTGATGAAGGCTTCATTCAGGTCCTCTCAGTCATGAGGATGTATGTAGTTTTGGAATAAACACTCCTCACTCATAATGGAGGAGTGTTTGTGGAGCTTCCTGATAGATTTTGCTCCACTTCTGTGAAGCAGAATTTCATTCCAACTGAGACCCATTTTCAATTATTTTCCTGGTAATTTACATTAATATACTTATGTTGTGAGCAATATCATGTCATCTTTTCTTAGGCTGCGTATCCAGAAGTAGCTGGGAACTGTTCCTGTATTACTCAATATCAAAATTGCAATATCATAGATTAATTGTAGTCGATATCGTGATTGCAATATGTTTGATTAATTGGACAGCACTAATTTCAGTACACATTTCTCTGAGTTTAATATTAACTCAGCTGGGTGGCAAATTTATACCACTTTGGTTTAAGAAATCCAGTCAATAGAGATAGATATATTTACTCTTTTACGCACCATTAAAGAAAATGATTTGATTGGAAAGGGCGATAAAGTACATAGGAAATCATTGAAGTGGCTGTATTTTGTATCTGTTCTAGCCCGTTGTTGTTTTTTTTGCCAACAATTCAAAGTCTCACCAGGCTAAGCATTTTTTCTTGTCTAGTAGCTTTTTTTCTGAGGTAGTCAGCACAGAATATCAATCTTACAGTACAAAGGCTTGGCCAAAGGTTCCAGATGGTGTTTGGTAATTGTTTATGTGTGTGAGGTGAAGTTAATGTAGTGAGAAAAGCGATTCTCTGCTCACTCTCCACTGTGTCTTGACCCCTGTCACAGTCTCCTGTGGTGAAGACGAAAACGATCACCATTTCTGATGTCACCAACTCCCTTCGCAGCGAAATCGCCAGCAAGGACATCCCGATTGTGCATACAGAGACCAAGACCATCACATATGAGTCTGCACAGGTGAGCCGAGGCGCTTTTTGAATCAACCTTGTTGCTGTGTGTTGCTGACATAATTTTTGATTAGTCTTTTGCTGTGCCAGTGTTTCCATATGCCACACATGGAATGAAAAATGAATTGGGATGCAAAATATATCAGCATCAATACATGTTGGTAACCACATCACCCAGTAGTAGGGATTTTGTTAATAATCAAGCATTGGACGATATTGGATGTTTATTTGGATTTTGGTAGCAGTTCACGTATCGGCACACATCTGTATTCAGAACAGAATATATTCAGTCTTTGTTGTAATCTGTTGCAGTGCTGTCATTTTCACAGTGCATTTTTGAGCGAGTTTAGCTAATCATTAAGATCTATTAGTTTTCTCTCTTTGAGCTCTACTATATAACCTGAGGCCAGTTTTTAAAAGAGTTTCTAACCAGCACAGCAGAGGTCCACTGCTGTAATAATGAGAGCTTATTTTTTCATTCTTTCAAAAATATATCAGATTACAGAAGAAAAATCACTTATCTTTCATACTGTATATTATAATGCCTGAATTAACTTGCTGGCTGCACTATTTTACAGTAAACTCACAGTGTACATACCCAATATGAATGCGCAACAGGACTGTTAACTAAGTGTAATAGGTAAAAAAAAATCTGCTAACTCACTTTTAGCATATAAAAGTTCTAAAATATTTTCTTTCTTCTTCTTTTTTTTCTCCCCCAAACCAAAGATTTACACTGATTTACAATATCATATCAGCTATTGTCAATACTAAAAAAATTAACTTTTTGGCTTTTTGGTTTGGACAGAATTTCTATATAATAATACATTTTTGATTATTTTAGTAGGAAGCATTTGTTTTATTACGAAGACCCTAGAGGTACAGAGTGATGGGGAAAAAACAGATTTCATTTATAAAGAAATATATATTTCAATGCTTTTGCATACCCCAAGAAACTTTGCATTTGTTCACAAAACTTTTGTGCTCTCTCGAGAAACTTGACCTCCTGCAACTGAACACAAAACTGCTGATGGATGTGCACTCTCAGAAATAAAGGTACAAAAGCTGTCACTGGGGCAGTACCTTTTGAAAAGGTACTAGGATGTACCATTTTGGTACTAATATATACACTTTAGATACTAATATATACCTTTAATGTACTTACATGCACCCTTTAGGGGTAAATAAGGTACCAATGTGTACCTTTTGAAAGGATACAGCACCGGTGGCAGCTTTTGTACCTTTTTTTCTGAGAATGTGGGAGAAAAAACTATATTTAAATTATTTAGTGAGAAAATGCAAAACATTGTTTGAGAGAACCCACAAGTTTTGCAAGCAAATGCAAAATCATTGAAATATAATCTTTCCTCCCATTTCTTGTCTCCCCCCCCCCATGACTGTGTACCCTTTGGGGCTCTGTAGGAAATAGCTTTGGGTGGAAGTGATAAATAAGGGATGTAATGGAAGAGTGTTCTAAGCACATGTGTGTTTGTTTGCTAATAGCCCAACGCGGTGTCAGAGAAGGAGTCTGGGATGCTGTTGAGTGCTCAGACCATCACTTCAGAGACTGTCAGCACCACCACCACAACCCAGATCACCAAGGTACATGAAGCTGCGCCTAAACCTGCAATATCACAAAAGATCCTGCAATGTCTGCCTCTTAAAGAAGAACGGATTGATGTTAAATTATCATATTTAAGCACAATGTAAAATGTATAATAAGATGAGCACTTTCTGCAGAACATAATTGCAGAAAACTTTACAATATCCAACTTACAACTGATTTGCATGTGCTGCACACTGCAAGGTAGGGCACAATGGTGCCAAGAGGCTGCGAACATGTGATAAAGCCATTGTAAATTACAGTTTATATCACCATTCCGCAGTATCTTTCCATTTCACAAAGTTAGTCAAGAATTGCCATACTGCACAGATGAGATATTCGCTTCACTGTGTTTCTGGCTCTCTCATTCTCTCGTTCTCTTCCCTTTCTCTGCTCAGACGGTGAAAGGCGGAATCTCAGAGACCCGTATCGAGAAGAGAATCGTGATCACTGGAGACACTGAGATTGACCATGATAAGGTGAAATGCACCTACAGTTAACGACCACGTCGGCCACACAGACGCAGAATGTTTTACAGACATTCTCATAGACAGCGTTTTATTGGGCAAAAATTTCCATACACCCTTGCGAAGGAGATTATGTCATCAATATTGGTCTATTTTCCTGAAAGAGAACAATTAAATGCATATATCTGCTAACAGACCTCAAAGCTAGCAAACATGGATTAAAAGCCACAAAACTTCAATTCTGATTTCATGGGGCCTTTAAATGTGTAAGTTTAGTGGTCTGGTTGAAAACTTTTCTCTCTGCTCTCCAGGCTCTTGCTCAGGCTATAAAGGAGGCGAAGGAGCAGCACCCTGACATGTCTGTGACGAAAGTGGTGGTGCATCAGGAAACAGAGATCACCCCTGAGTAACTCCTGCATGAGACACAGGTTGGTTTCCTCCTGCACAACCTGACTGATTATTGGACTGGTGTTGATTACATGCACGATTACAGCTAGAGAGATTAATATTATATGCACATATTATTTTATTTTAGAAATATTGACGTTATCTGCATGCCAAATGACGTCTTGCGGTAATGCTTTCTCATCGTCACTCAGCATGTTTTATTCAATTATGATCAATATAAGTAGCCAAACATTGGAAACATGAAGTGAGTGAGTGAAAAATGCTGCATGGTGAACTGGAAGGTGCAGTTTGCTAAAAGAGTAAAACCTGAAAAATTATGATTAATTAAACAAAAAAACATGCTTAAGTTAACCCTTGTGTGGTGTTCATATTTTTGTTATTCAGCCAGTGTTCGTGGGTCTGGTGGACCCGCTGCATTTTTGGGTTTTTAATTCAACACAATCAAAAATTTTATGTTAAAATACTCAACAGATGTTTACTTCATCCCAATTACAAGCAATATAAACAGCATATATGGTTAATATTTGCCCTTTACCTTTGTTAGATCACATGTATGAATTAAAGTGTTACAACCTTGTGCGGGAACTCACACTTACACTCACACTTTCACAGACTCTCTCTCACACACACACACACACACACATACACATACTAATAGCAGGCCCAGACAGGAGGAGGACAGAGTGAAGGTACACAGGACCTAAAATGTCCACACTTTTATTAGTCCAATGGACCCGAATATCCTGTATGTAATATAAATGTGGGGGGGGGGGTGTACAGTGAGTGGTCATCGAAAATTTGTTCTGATAAATGTTCTTCACAGAAAATGAGCCAAGGCCAATGAATCTGAGTTTGAAAAAATAATTAATCATATCATTTTTCTTTTGATAAAAAATGAAAACGGTTCCCACAGACCCGAACACCATACAAGGGTTAATGAAAAGTTATTGTGTTATTTTTTTACCCTTTAAATAAAGAAATAACAGATTTTTTTCATTTTGTCAGCCAGTTGTTAACAGAAGACTGCTGTTAATATTCGGTGATAAAATTACAAGATACTGCATCAAATCTACAAAATAAGATCTGCTGCAGATATGCACGTTTTGAAGATCTTATGGCCAAATTGCTTATACCCTCTGCAGTCTAATTACAGCATATTTTATTCATAAGGCTGACAAAAAAACCACTTCTGGATTTCTTGCTTTATTTGAAGTGCAAAAATGACTTGGCATGTTTTTCTTTCAAAAACAGAAAAATCCTTTCAAATCTTTTGTGAAAAATGTATAGAAATGAATTTTAGTTCCCTATCTGTCGGTCACTACGAGTTATGTCGTGACAACATTAGGGGTCTAACTTGGGGGCCCAATCATCTCTGGGTTTAAGAGAAAACGGCAATGAAAATTGGCTAGTGGATTTTGCATGCTGAGCCGCTCCCCGTGCACACGGGTATATAAGGCGACAGCGCGCATCCACTCATTAGATTTTTGCTTCGGAGCCGAGTAGTCTATGTCAATCATTTACTACAAAGCCATTCATCTTTGTGTTGCGGAGGCTGTTCCTGGTTGGTGTTACGGCGCGTTACAGCGGTGTCCCTGTCAGCAGCGATTCCCCTGGGCACTTCAGCTAAAAGAGCAGTTTCCTCTAAAAGAGCAAATCACAGACGATTCCCGTCTTTTTCAAGATGCCGTTTCGTCCGTGTCCTTCTGGATGCGTTTCCTGTCCTCTGTCGACGGCCACGATCGCTGTCTTCAGTGTCTGGGCCTTCAGCACGCTGAAGCGTTGCTCGTGGATGAGTCATGCGTCTGTGGGCGTATGACCATGGCATCGCCTGCATTCCCCAGGTGGTGGGAGCGATTGCGGTGCACCTGTGCCTGCAAAACGCCGCCACTTGGAGGAATCGTCCACGTCTCCCGTCCAAAGCCTGTAAACTGCCAAAGCTTACAGTGCTGCGGGCCAAGCTGCCTCTGCCCTGCATGCCATGGCGATCCTGCAGGTGGATCGTGCTCACTTCCATCAAGGGGACCTCCAAGCATTTTCCGTAAGTGAAGAGTGCCTTGTGTTCAGGCCGGCATACTCTCACGTTGTCCTGAGACCCCGGCTTGGATACGTGCCCAAGGCCATGCCCACTCGGAGTGTTGCCTCCTCCTGGGCACTGGTGCACGGCGCCTCTCTGGCAGACATCTGTCGAGCTGCGGGCTGGGCGACACCTAACACCTTCGCATGGTTTTACAACCTTCGGGTAGAGCCGGTTTCTTCCCGTGTGTTGGGTAACAGGTAACTGGCGGGAAGAACTGGCTCGGTGTCACGCTTGCTGCACCATTCCCCCTCACACGGGGATGCGAGCTCCTTTCTTCTCCCAGTAGAGTTCCCCAGTTGGCGAACCCTGGTCGAGCATCCTCCAGTACCCCCGGCAGTCAGACTTGGCGGAGCAGTCTGACGCCAGGCCCAGTACTGGTGTTAGCATGGCCGCAGTCCCGGTTAGCCCCTGTACTGGGCTAGGTGTCCATATGGCTTGATTCCCTACGGGTAATCCCATATGTGTATTCTTCCACGGTAAGGTTTACCTCTCTGTAAACCTGTGTCTTCCCTTGACAGACCTGCTCTGTCAGTCTCTTCTGGCAGTTGTTCCATCCCTACTCTAAGGTAGGACCTGCCTCAGAGACCCATTCCATATGTAGTACTGCCCCCTGGGTCAGTCCATATCAGTATCTCCACATCCATGTCACCGTAGGTGTGTGGTCTCCGTAGCGACCTTTTTCTTAAGGCTCGAGCTGAGTGGATGCACGCTGTCGCCTTATATACCCGTGTGCACGGGGAGTAGCTCAGCGTGCAAAATCCACTAGCCAATTTTCATTGCCGTTTTCTCTTAAACTCAGAGATGACTGGGCTCCCAAGTTAGACCCCTAGTGTCGTCACGACATAACGTCTCCGTTCCCTCCATCAGGGAATGAGGGTTATGTACAGTATGTAACCGAGGCGTTATTTTCCACATAGAAATGGATAATGAATTTTGGTATGAGGGTGTCAATGTAGTTTCAAGATGATTTCATGTCAAAAAGACCCTGTTTTAAGGATATACATTTCAGATCTATGGTTTCAACCAATACCATGCTTTCTCTTTCAATATGGCATGTAGTGAATGTCTCTAGCAAAGCATTGATACAATAATGTATTTGTACAGCAGCAGTGATATCGCCTTCTCTCCCTCTGCGGCCCAGACCTTTTAGTGTAGCTCTCCAATAGCACTGGAGTTTGATGGGTTTATGGCATGCATTTAAAGCTCTTCTCTCATGGGCCATACAGCCACACCATCTCCCATGATACATTAAACTCATTACCGCATTTCTGAGATTTTCTCTTTTAAAAGCAGTGATGAAATTGCTTACCATTAAAAACAAACGAAGATCCCTTAAAAATATGGTAACAACAGAAACCCTCCGTGGCAAACCTCATACCGACAGAAAGAAGTGCATAGGATCCCAGAGAATTAGACACAGACACTTAAGCTGTATGATTTACTGTCACCATTAACTGTGCTCCAATAAAAACCTCAATCCCTTAGAAAGCACTGTTATACTGCCATATTTACAGCCGTTATACATGCTTGTAGCAGAGTCGGCGACATTCAGCACTTAAACATTCCAGTTCAGCTCTAGAATTTCAATTGAGGTAGCAAAGAGGATGCAGAATCGAATTTAATATTAGAATATATTAGATATTAGATATTAGATGATACCTCATATTAATTAGATGACATTAGATGATATTAATATTCTGTGTTGTTAATGCCACCTATAGAAATTTGTATTCAATTTATTTTACTATCTTTAATAAATTACTATTTATTTTTTGGCCCATGATGAAGAAAAGTGTTATTTTAGTTGTTTATATATATATATATAGTATTTACAAAAATTTTGAATTAGCTTTTATTTAATATTTTCAGTTTTCATTTACATTTTTTTAAATTAATTTTATTTAATTAATTTTGTTATGTGCTTTTGTCATGTATATTTATTTCAGTTTTATATTTCTTTTCAGTAATTTTAGTACTTTAACTTATTTGTATTGCTTATTTTCATAAGCTTTTTTTGTTATTTTTCATCTAATATAAATATTTTATTTTATTTCAGCTTTTTTTTAATTAACAAAATTGTTTTACTTTTAGTTAACAGAAACAACACTGATAAAGACCAACACTTAATTTCCAGAATCATTTAATTGACCCGAAAAAAATTCAAAACTGAGTCAAACATTAAAATAAATAAATAAATACATACATACATACATAATCAACAGAATGTTTGGATTTTTGGACTGCTTTTGATCTGTTATGTTAATTGTTTAGACTGTATAGAACTTGGCTTAGAGAAATGTGTAATAAAAAATGAAAAACAAGTCCAGAAAGTGAAGCGTCTCAGCATTAAGACTCTAAATGTGGGCCTTTTAGACTGTTTGTGTGAGGCATTGGGTGTCTGATGCTGTTTAACCAGCTGTCAGGGTGGTATGTATACAGACACAGAGCTCCCAGAGGATAATGGGTAATGCTGCCCTGTTAGTTTGTTCCCACAGTGCCCTGTTTTGTGCGTGCAGAGACCCAGTTCACCCCATTCGCCCCGTCAATGTTTACTTCACTTTCTTTCACTCAGTCAGAGAGTATTTACCATCCACCATTATTTCCATGTCGCTCGGGTCTGCATGCCGCAGGCCATCCCGATTTTCGTCACTGACTCGTCACCCGTTTGGGATGTGTTTACTTTTTGCCTTACCAGAAATGCTGTCCTGTTTTGTTTGTCTCGGATGGTTGTTGACCTAGCTTTGATCTCACATCAACGCAGGGTGAAAAAACGGGACCAGTCGGGTTTATGAATGTTAAAAAACAACGCAAGATCCCTCACATCCAACCTCCTACCGTCAACCCACCGACTTCCCCTTACGGACAAACTCTTCCTGTAGCAGTGCATGTCCCACCCAGCCATTGCCATCTGAGACACCACTTTCCAGACCCTAAACATCTGTCAGATTTCAAGCGTCGTACAGCAAACTGAGCATCCAGCATCTACTCCAGAAGCAGAATTCAAAGACCAGTTCTCATCCACATCTCAACACCTCGGACAGACTTTTTCCAAAAATCCTGCCTGACCTCTACCACATCAAAGACTTTCCATGACGGACTGAACCATGTTTTCTCAAAACTTTTTATCTCAAATTCATACGGTATTTTTTGGGTGGATTCCAAAGGGATGGTTCACAAAATAACAACTGGGCGGTGGGAATTTTCTAAAGTGTCAATTTGTTGTTGTTGTTGTTTAATTTTTTTAAAGCTTAATTTAATATTTTTTGCTGTTGTTGCAATTGGTTGATTATCTGTCACAATCTGAAGAATCACAATCTGAAACACTTAAAGGGGACGTTCACCCAAAATTCAGATTCCTCATTTAGTGATGCAAAGCTATATTTGAGCATTTTCTTTTCTCAATGGAACAAAAAATTTGAAGTTTAGCAGAATATTCACGCTGCTCTTTTCCATTATTTTTCAAGAAATTTGAAGACTTAAATTTAGGGAAAGTTCACCCAAAATTGAAAAATCTGTCATCGTTTACTCAATGTCGTTCCAAACCAGTATGACTTACTTTTTGATAGATATTTTGAGAAGACATTTTTTGATAATCAGTAATCACCAAAACTGTTTGATTACCGACATTCTTCAAAATATCTTCTTTTGCGTTCCATGCGTCATACAGGTTTGTAATGACATGGTGGTGAGAAATTGAGGATTTTATTTTATTTTAATTTTTTGGTGAACTATCCCTTTAAGTTGTTGTCATTCTCTAATTTCTTTTCTGGCCACTTGCATTCAAATTTGACAGGTTTAAAGTCAATGTTTGAACATGCAAATAACATTTAAGTATTGCTGAGGAGGGGAACATTTCAGTGATTACATTTCAATTGTTCCTTGCACAAAACTATAATATGACTATATAGGACTTAGGTTTATGGTGCATGAGGCACATGACTGCTTTTTTCACACTTGTATGGTGTTCATTTTTTGGAACTAAACAGTCCCGGGCCCCTTTCGCTTTCATTGTGTGGAAAAGAGCAGCCATGAACATTCTGCTAAACATCTGAATTCCTCAGAAGAAAGAAAAATTTGGAAAGTACATGGAGAATAAATGACAGGATTTTCATTTTTGGGTGAACTGTTCCCAATCCAGAATACATCATGTTGTAAAGTCCCATATTTTATGTTCCTCTTAAATGTGAAAGTATTATTTTGTTCTCATGTGATGTAAAATAATGTGTTATTTTCATTCAGAATGCTGGAGCAATTTCAGATGTTCTCTCGTGTTTTAAAGTTACATTACTTGGCATATTTGTTGAAGGCTTGAATCATTTTTCTTTTGTTTTGTTGGTAATGTTGTCCTGTGTCATCGTGGATTGGGGGTCCAATGAAGATGGGGTGAAGCTACACTCTATGATATTTCTATTTATTTTCATCAGTTTTGTTTCTCGTTTGTGTGTGTACTTTGCATTTTAGATGCCCTGCTCTCTTAAATTCAGCTTTGATGTTTTGTATTAGATCCAGAATCCCAAACACCAGCTCCCGCCAGTTTTTAAATGGGATTTGCAGGGATAACTCTGCTCATTTTCAGTATATTTCTACTTTTCTACTAGAGGGGGCAGTATGTTCTTACCCATGAGGTCTATAGCAGATCTGCAAAGCCTTCAAAACGAGCATCCACACACAACCTGAAGTGGTTTTAGATGAATTGGAATCGATTAGCCATGAACGGAGTTAATTAGCAATTATAGTAATTAATTGTGAAAGCAATCAGACGGATTCTACAGCAAATTAAAATGAGTCTCAGTCATTCATTGAGACATTCAAATGACTTTAAAGGTCGAGACTGACAATTCAGGTGCGGTAATTCAATTCTAGAAAATCAAAGTGGGAAATTGAGGATTTTATATTGTGCATCAACACTGCCGATGGCGTAAAGCGTACTGCCCCACGTCAAACTGACGAGTCCAGCACGTCCTGTTTTTAAATGTCTATTTTACAATGTTACGCTTTTATAATAGTTCAAATAGTATCCTGTACAGAGACCGAGGTGTTGTAGTTCGTTCAGTGTGTTGTTTTCTTCATTGTGGCACTCCTTTCCTATGCTAGTCTGGGGTGAGGAAAAGAAAAGAATTGTACGTTTTTCCTCAGAGGTTCTTTTTCTTCTCATCGCACCCCTCTTTCTTTTGCCATCACTGAAAAAATGTACAATATAGCACCATGCACTGAATAAACTCCAACTTAGACACATTCTTCACACAGTTTCATGAGTGTTTGTTATTCACGACTTTCTTAATACACGTTGTCTTATGAGTGTTTACTTTGTGCATGTTATTACATTCCTAATGTTTGATTAAAATGAAATAATTTCCTTTCTGGTTGACATCAGTCCTTCTTATTAAACTCCTCGTCTCTAGCCAACACCCATTTTACACAATCCAGTCAATTCCCAACAGATAAAAAGTTCCCCGTTAACACCCTGTTTCACGGAAACAAGTCATATTACAGAAGTAAAATGGGATGTAAATGTGATCTACCTCATGTAAATTTGATGTCATGGTTCTCAGTTGCAGACTCCTGATAACGGTTTACTAATTTTTGGTAGTTTTTAAAGAAAAAACTCAACATAGTAACCTAGAAATGACCCAGAAATGTTTTCTGCATTGAGCTGCTGCTCTGTCATGCATATATAGTATGTGTGAAACAGGCCTAGCTCTCCTCAAATGAGCTCTGCATTTTTATCACAGGTTGTGCTTTATTACCAGTGTTTAGCTTGATGAAAGCAGGCTGCAGTTAATGACTTTGATTGCAGTGGATTCGCTCATAACCCTGGAGACGGGCTGAGATGAGCTGCCACAGGTGGTGTGAACACAGAACGACACTACAGAGTCCAGAATAAAACAGGATTTACCAGAAAAGTCATAGAGAAAATTGGAAGAAAAAAAATTCAGCTGGAAATCACAGTGGTCTGCTGTTAAAACAGAGAAATATTGCAGGTTTTCTTGTCTTTGCTTCATACTTGCATCATGCATATATATGTTTCAGTTTAGTTGCCTAAAAATGGGCAACACGACTGATGGGGCTGTCGAATAAATTCATTACAATGCATTTAGGGTTCTTACTGGCCAAAACATTATTTAGATATTTTTGCATCTAAGACCATGACATAACATCATTTATATCAGGGTCAGACTAAAATTCATATAGTAGGCTAGTTTCTGATTACTTTGTTTTATTCATATTTGGAGCTTGGAGGTGTTAATTTTGCACCCTATCCCAATTCACATTCTATTTATTTAACATGTCAGATTGGATGTAGTGCATACCAAATCATAGTATGCTGAAAATAGCATGACAAGGCATAAAGCAATAAGGATAGAAATATGTAAAACTGCATTTCCCATCAAGCACAAGGAAGATAAAATGAAAATAATACATCATTTACACACCTAATGTGGATAATTTACTTTTTATTTTGTCATCATTTCATCATGTCTTCGTTGGGAAGTCAAAATTAGAGAAAGAATTAGAAAATTGCTCTTTTTTTTCCCCAAAATAAATCATTAGAACTTACTGTTAGCGATTGTTATGCTATTAGGATTTTGCTTGTAAGTAAAGGCAAAGTCCCAAAACTCGTCAACCAAGCTTACTCAAAAGTAGCCTAGTGGAGTACAAAAACTGTCAGAAAAGTGAAAATGCTTCTATTTTTTTGAATTGCTAATGATTTTATACACTGTAAAAAAAATTCCGTAAAATTTACGTTAGCAAACGTTTTAGGTTTTACGATTTTATCTTAAATTTACAGTAAAATACCGTAATTTCATTAACTGATATAATGTTAATATACCAACCTATTGAAGTACTGAAATCTGTTTTGTACCTTTGTAATACACTGATCACCAAATGCAGGTGGTGATGAGAAAGTCACATGATGAACCAAAGCCCATCACAAGCAGCTTTTAAATAATAACATATATAAAAGGTGCACAGTGTCATTCACACAAACACTAAATGTCATCATGGTAACACACATGAAACTGAAATAATGCAATAAACATTCATTTAACAACATTAGGTGTAACACACAACCCTAACCCTGAAACTGATAAGAAAAAACTAAGAAGAAACGGTTATTTCAACATAAAAACATCAAATTTGAAATGTAACGCAGGGAATTCTGGGAATGTCAATTTATACAGTCTTTTTCACTTCCAAAAACGGTATACTACCGTAAAATTTATGTCCAATACATGTAATGTCCAATACAGTTTTTCACCGTATATAGTAGGGGAATTTACCGTTAACCATTTAACAGGTTTTACTGTAGCATTTTTACAGTCTTTTACCATTAAATTCACGGTCATTTTTTACAGTAAGACCTGAAAAATGAACATGAATTCCTTTGTACTTGGTTTCTCCCTCTTTTGCTTTAATGACAGAAGAATGGACTCCACAAGTTGGTACAAAGACATTCACATGGTCAGTGTCGCATTTGATTATTGAACTACAAATAGTGCAGATTCTTTCTTTGTGAAGTGCATATTATAAATGCTAATTAGAACACAACTTTAATGTCCCATGTTCTTTGATAGCTGCTTATTCCACTTGAGATATCATATAAAGATGTTCTGATCATGTCAGCCGGAGCGTCTTGTTGTCTTCAATCTGTCAGAAGGGATCAGGGAGGAATATTTAAGAGCTTCAGAAAGGCTCCATCGCTGTAACTCGTGAGCTGAAGTCAGCTGGAATTATCCATGCAATACGTTTTTCCTGGAGCTGGTATTTATGGGAATACTCTGAATGTTTTGAATGTTTAATCTCTGATTGCCAATTAGCATCTCGCTAAAGGTCAGAGAGAGGGCTGGGCCACAACCATTGTAGCATTATTTGTTCATCCAGCCAATAGGATTTGAGGCTGTCTTACTCCTGAACATCCGCTCGCAGGGCAGACGGATTAAACGCTGAACCGTGGCACCTGAAGTAAATTAGGTCAGTTAGCGATGGATGACAGGCAATGGCTGCATCCGAAAACTTAGGCAGCTGACTTCCTGCCTCGCTGCCGTTTGAGGCAATGACTTTGCAGGCAGCGTTTTTGCACGAAGGCACCTCGTGAAACTGATTTCGGACAGGCTTCTGAGGCAGCGTAATGGTTTAATGATCTACAACAAAATAGAATGGATTTTGGTGATAACTAAACAAATATTTAATTACTATAGTACTGATTTCTCGTTAGAAATAACATCAAAAGTGCAAAAAGTTAGTCAGAAATATACATTTACACACAAACTGGCCACCAAACGCAACTTTCAGCCGCCATCTTTATTTTTTA